AGGTCACGGGACAGACCCAGCAGGTGCCGTGGGTTGACTGCTGTGCCAGGCTAGGTGCAGGAGGTCTCGAGACAGACCCATCCTCATCATCATTAAAATCATCATCATCCAAATCGTCATCCAAAAATATTAATCATCAGACGTATCAACATCGACATACAAAATCATCATCATCATCATCACCTTGCAACTGAAACGAGTCGGGGGAGACCGCCCCGGGCCCCGCGCTTAGGGGGGCGGGCCGCACGCTTGGACGTCACGGTGGTGGCAGCCCCCCCCCCCCCCCGCATGTACCTTGAATTTCTTTTGCACCGTACGTAGCGAGCCGTGCGAATCGGAGGTGCGGGGGAAGGACAACAAACTCGACACAAACAGCACGAGATGTCACTCTGTGTGAGTCTGTGGGTGAGTCTGTGGGTCTCTGTGTGAGTCTGTGGGTCTCTGTGTGAGTCTGTGGGTGTCTGTGTGAGTCTGTGGGTCTCTGTGTGAGTCTGTGGGTCTCTGTGTGAGTCTGTGGCTCTCTGTGATAGTCTCTGCGATCGTCAGCACGTTGAACTTTGTTCGCACCGTACGTAGCCGAGTCGTACGAGTCGGAGGCGCTGATGAAGGACCACCACACACAGACCTTGCTGTTGAACATTCTCCAAAGATGACAGACGGTGAGTGATCACGTTTATTTGTTGAGGTTTTTGCGTTCGAATTACAATTTGCACGCAAGCTCCTTTTACATTGTCATGGAAATCTGCGAAAATCCGTCTGGATTGTAGAGTCGTGTCAAACGCTCTCACCCACTCGCTCACCCGCCCGCTCACCCACTCACTCACCCGCTCACTCACCCGCTCACTCACTCTCCCACTCCTCACCCACTCACTCACCTACTCTCTCACCCATTCACTCACTCAGTCATCCGCTCAGTCACTCACCCACTCACTCACGCGCCCACTCACTCACTTACCCATCCACTCACCCGCACACTCACCCGCTCACTCACTCACCCACTCGCTCACCCACTCGCTCACCCACTCCACCCATTTCTCACCCACTCACTCCTCTTTCGCCCACTCACTCACTCACGCACCCACTCACTCACCCACTCACTCACCTACTCACTCACTCACCCACTCACTCACCTACTCACTCACTCACCCATCCACTCACCCACACGCTCACCCACTCACTCACCCACCCACTCACACAAAGACCAAGATTCCGCCGTGCAGATTTTTGCAGATCGCTGAATGGCAAGTGCTGTTGGTGTGGCAAGTGTTGTTTGTGTGGCAAGTGTTGTTAGCGAGCAGCACCTACGAAGGCCGTCACTGTGGCACACGAGGGGGTGGGTGGCCAGCACCACGCCCGGCCGCCTTTGTCTTCCCACGATGTGGCGAGGTTTCACGACGCCACCGCTACGCCAGGCTACTCAGTCCAGGCCGAGTCGACCTAGGGGAGGCCCAGGGACCGGCTGGGGTCGAAAGCGGCGTTTTGGTAGCGCCCGTGCCGCTAACACACACACCACACACACTACACACACACACACACACACCACACACACACACCACACACACCACACACCACCCACACACACACTACACACACACACACACACCACACACACACACCACACACACCATAACACACCACACACACACCACACACACCACACACACACCACACACACACCACACATACACCACACACACACAACCACACATACACCACACACTACACACACACCAACACTATACACCACACACACACACCACACACACACACACCACACACACACTACACACACCACACACACACTACACACACACTACTCACACACCACACACACACCACACACACACCACTCACTACACACACACACACCACACACCCCACGCTCACCCCCCACGCTCACCCCCCACGCTCACCCCACGCTCACCCCACGCTCACCCCGCGCTCACCCCGTGCTCACCCCACGCTCCGCCCCACGCTCACCCCACGCTCCCCCCCACGCTCACCCCCCGTGCTCACCCCCCGTGCTCCCCCCACGCTCACCCCGTGCTCTCGCTGTCGCCTGCACGTTTACAACGTCACAACAGCCACCGTCTTGGTCTGTCTACCTGTCTGTCCCCACGTCTCCACGTCACCCTGTCTGTCTCCACGTCTCTCTGTCTGTCTCCACGTCTCCACGTCTCTGTCTCCACGTCTCCATGTCTCTGTCTCCACGTCTCCCTGCCTGTCACCCTGTCTCCCCGTCTCCACGTCACCCTGTCTCCCTGTCTGTCCCCACGTCTCCACATCTCCCTGTCTCCATAGCAGCCGGTCCCCCTTCCCCTCAACCCCCCCCCCCGTGCCCCCCCCCCCGTTGTCCCCCCCCCCCCTTGTCCCACCCCCCGTACCCCCCCCAGCCCCCCCCCGCTACCCCAGTCCCAGCCTGCGCCGCTGCTCCAGGCCCCGCACCACCAGCTCCAGGTGGCGCTGCTCCAGCAGCAGCGGCATCCTGGACGCCAGCAGCAGCCGGCACGAGGGCCGCTCCCCCCCGGGCCCCCGCCGAGGCCCCCGCCGAGGCCACCGAGGGCCCCGTCCACCGCGGCCCCGCAGCGTCGTGCGCGCCGCGCCAGGCCTGGCAGCAGGGCCAGGGCCTCCGTCACCTGGCGGCGCAGTCGCGGCCTCCCGGCGCCGGCGGCGGCCTGCGGAGAGACGGGCGAGGCAAGGCGAGGCCCACGTCAAGCTGGTGGGTGAGGCCCACGTCAAGTGGGCGGGTGAGGCCCACGTCAAGAGGGTGAGGCCCACGTCAAGAGGGCGGGTGAGGTCCACGTCAAGAGGGTGAGGCCCACGTCAAGAGGGTGAGACCCACGTCAAGAGGGTGAGGTCCACGTCAAGAGGGCGGGTGTGGTCCACGTCAAGAGGGTGAGGCCCACGTCAAGAGGGTGAGGTCCACGTCAAGAGGGTGAGGCCCACGTCAAGAGGGTGAGACCCACGTCAAGAGGGTGAGACCCACGTCAAGAGGGTGAGGTCCACGTCAAGAGGGCGGGTGAGGTCCACGTCAAGAGGGTGAGGCCCACGTCAAGAGGGTGAGACCCACGTCAAGAGGGTGAGGTCCACGTCAAGAGGGCGGGTGAGGTCCACGTCAAGAGGGTGAGGCCCACGTCAAGAGGGTGAGGCCCACGTCAAGAGGGTGAGGTCCACGTCAAGAGGGTGAGGCCCACGTCAAGAGGGTGAGACCCACGTCAAGAGGGTGAGGCCCACGTCAAGAGGGTGAGACGCACGTCAAGAGGGTGAGACCCACGTCAAGAGGGTGAGGTCCACGTCAAGAGGGTGAGGCCCACGTCAAGAGTGTGAGGCCCACGTCAAGAGGGTGAGACCCACGTCAAGAGGGTGAGGTCCACGTCAAGAGGGCGGGTGAGGTCCACGTCAAGAGGGTGAGGCCCACGTCAAGAGGGTGAGGCCCACGTCAAGAGGGTGAGGTCCACGTCAAGAGGGCGGGTGAGGTCCACGTCAAGAGGGTGAGACCCACGTCAAGAGGGTGAGGCCCACGTCAAGAGGGTGAGGCCCACGTCAAGAGGGCGGGTGAGGTCCACGTCAAGAGGGTGAGGCCCACGTCAAGAGGGTGAGGCCCACGTCAAGAGGGTGAGACCCACGTCAAGAGGGTGAGGCCCACGTCAAGAGGGTGAGGCCCACTTCAAGGGGCGGTGAGGTCCACGTCAAGAGGGTGAGGACCCACGTCAAGAGGGTGAGGCCCACGTCAAGAGGGTGAGACCCACGTCAAGAGGGTGAGGTCCACGTCAAGAGGGCGGGTGAGGTCCACGTCAAGAGGGTGAGGCCCACGTCAAGAGGGTGAGGCCCACGTCAAGAGGGTGAGACCCACGTCAAGAGGGTGAGGCCCACGTCAAGAGGGTGAGGCCCACTTCAAGAGGGCGGGTGAGGTCCACGTCAAGAGGGTGAGACCCACGTCAAGAGGGTGAGGCCCACGTCAAGAGGGTGAGACCCACGTCAAGAGGGTGAGACCCACGTCAAGAGGGTGAGACCCACGTCAAGAGGGTGAGGTCCACGTCAAGAGGGTGAGGCCCACGTCAAGAGGGTGAGGTCCACGTCAAGAGGGTGAGGCCCACGTCAAGAGGGTGAGGTCCACGTCAAGAGGGCGGGTGAGGCCCACGTCAAGAGGGTGAGGCCCACGTCAAGAGGGTGAGGCCCACGTCAAGAGGGCGGGTGAGGCCCACGTCAAGAGGGTGAGGTCCACGTCAAGAGGGCGGGTGAGGTCCACGTCAAGAGGGTGAGGCCCACGTCAAGAGGGTGAGACCCACGCAAGAGGGTGAGGTCCACGTCAAGAGGGCGGGTGAGGTCCACGTCAAGAGGGTGAGGCCCACGTCAAGAGGGTGAGGTCCCACGTCAAGAGGGTGAGGCCCACGTCAAGAGGGTGAGACCCACGTCAAAGAGGGTGAGGGCCCACGTCAAGAGGGTGAGACCCCGTCAAGATGGTGAGGTCCACGTCAAGAGGCGGGGAGGTCCACGTCAAGAGGGTGAGGCCCACGTCAAGAGGGTGAGCCCACGTCAAGAGGGTGAGGTCCACGTCAAGAGGGTGAGGGCCCACGTCAAGAGGGTGAGGTTCCACGTCAAGAGGGTGAGGACCCACGTCAAGAGGGTGAGGCCCACGTCAAGAGGGTGAGGCCCACATCAAGAGGGCGGGTGAGGTCCACGTCAAGAGGGTGAGGCCCACGTCAAGAGGGTGAGACCCACGTCAAGAGGGTGAGGTCCACGTCAAGAGGGTGAGGCCCACGTCAAGAGGGTGAGGTCCACGTCAAGAGGGTGAGACCCACGTCAAGAGGGTGAGGTCCACGTCAAGAGGGTGAGGCCCACGTCAAGAGGGTGAGACCCACGTCAAGAGGGTGAGGTCCACGTCAAGAGGGCGGGTGAGGTCCACGTCAAGAGGGTGAGGCCCACGTCAAGAGGGTGAGGTCCACGTCAAGAGGGTGAGGTCCACGTCAAGAGGGTGAGGTCCACGTCAAGATGGTGAGGCCCACGTCAAGAGGGTGAGACCCACGTCAAGAGGGTGAGACCCACGTCAAGAGGGTGAGACCCACGTCAAGAGGGTGAGGTCCACGTCAAGAGGGCGGGTGAGGTCCACGTCAAGAGGGCGGGTGAGGTCCACGTCAAGAGGGTGAGGCCCACGTCAAGAGGGTGAGGTCCACGTCAAGAGGGTGAGGCCCACGTCAAGAGGGTGAGGCCCACGTCAAGAGGGCGGGTGAGGTCCACGTCAAGAGGGTGAGGCCCACGTCAAGAGGGTGAGGCCCGCGTCAAGAGGGCGGGCGGCGACGTGGGGCCACAAGATCGGCGGGTGGGGCGGCCGTAGCCGGTTTGCTGGATTATCGTCGGCGGGCATCGTCATCGTCGTCGTCGTCATCGTCGTCATTGTCAGCATCGTCATCATCGTCGTCATTGTCACCATCGTCATCGTCACCATCGTCGTCACCATCGTCACCATCGTCACCATCGTCACCATCATCGTCACCATCGTCGTCGTCGTCACCAACGTCACCATCGTCGTCGTCGTCATCATCACCATCGTCACCATCGTCATCATCGTCGTCACCATCGTCACCATCGTCACCATCACCATCATCATCATCGTCACCATTGTCACCATCGTCACCATCGTCATCGTCACCATCGTCATCATCGTCACCATCACCATCGTCACCATCGTCGTCGTCGTCACCATCAATCGACGCCGTCGTGGCCGCGCGGTGGGCCTCCTCCGTACCGTGGCGACGTCGGCCCCGTCCTGCCGGTGCTGCCGGCCGAGGCACCCCAGGAGGCCGCCCATCGCGTCCTGGCTGTCCAGCACCGCCTCCAGGCGCTGCAGCAGGCGGCGCGGGCTGCGGGAACGCAGCGCTCGCTGGGACGACGACGAGGTGGAGGTGGTGGACGAGAAGGTGGAGGAGGTGGAGGAGAGGGTGGAGAGGGTGGTCCGGATCTGCGCGCAAGCCGCCGAGTTTGATTCCAGGTCTCCGTTGAGCAGAGCGAGGGAGCGGTGCAGGCTGGAGCGCTGGGGACGACATTGCCCATCGACTAACATTGCCCAGAGACTAACATTACCCATCGACTAACATTACCCATAGACTAACATTACCCAGAGACTAACATTGTCCATAGACTAACATTGCCCATAGACTAACATTACCCATAGACTAACATTACCCAGAGACTAACATTGCCCATAGACTAACATTACCCATCGACTAACATTGCCCATAGACTAACACTGCCCATAGACTAACATTACGCATAGACTAACATTGCCCATAGACTAACATTACCCAGAGACTAACACTACCCATAGACTAACATTACCCATAGACTAACATTACCCAGAGACTAACACTACCCATAGACTAACACTACCCATAGACTAACATTACCCATGGACTAACATTACCCATAGACCAACATTACCCATAGACCAACATTACCCATAGACTAACACTACCCATAGAATAACATTACCCATAGACTAACACTACCCATAGAATAACATTACCCATAGACTAACACTACCCATAGAATAACATTACCCATAGGTCTGTCAGACGCTGTCTTTCCGACAGACCTGTTCTCCACCTGAGGACGGCTGCTTGCGTTGTGGCCGAAACGTCGTGAGAATTATTTTATTGTGTTTTATTTTTATTATTTTATTATTCTCCTTCTACGTGACTTTACCGAAATAACCAAAAAGAGAAGACGACGTTTCGATCGCAACACGAGCATCCGTCTTCACCTCACCTGAAGATGGACGCTTGTGTTGCGACCTGAAACGTCGGGACTTCACCGAAAGAAGCAGAGAACGAGAAGCAGCTCTCCGCAACCCGCACCCCGTAGATCAGAGGTCGCAAACGGGTTTTGATTCCTTTCCCGTACCCGGCCGCACCAGGGTCGCAAATGGGTACCCGTACTCTACCCGTACCCAGCTGGGTATCGGGTAGGGTACGGGTACCCGTTTGCGACCTCTGCGATGAAGCCATGTTGCAGGCGCGGGTGGGTTGATTCTAGGCACTTGAATTGTGAGAAGAGACAAGACGTTGGGAAATGAGTGACAAACGGTGACTCACCAGTGACTCACGGCCTACCCGTACCCATACCCGGCCGCACCAGGGTCGCAAACGGGTACGGGTAGCTGGGTATTGGGTAGGGTACGGGTATCGGGTAGGGTACGGGTATCTGGTAGGGTACGGGTATCGGGTAGGGTACGGGTACGGGTATCAGGTTGCGACCTCTGCCGTAGCTCCCTGTCAAGAACAAAAATCGACAGGGGAATAATAAATGGCCTCCCTGTCTGTTGAAGGCGAACTACACGTATGCTCTTCGGTTCTGTCGGTAAAGTCACTTAGGTTAGAAATCGAATCAAATGAAACAAACCACGACGTTTCGATCGCAACACAAGCGGTCGTCGTCACGAAAGCTTCAAATCAAGACGAAAAAGAACACCCCCGACGCTTTTCAAAACGCTCACCAGCTCTTCCTCATCCTCCCGCTCCCTCCCTCCCGCTCCTCCTCCTGCTGCCGCTCTCCTCCTGCTGCCGCTGCACCTCCGGCGGTCCGTCTGCGGCCTCCCCGTCCGCGAGCTCGTGCCCGGGTCCCGCCCGAGGCTCCCGCGCCGGAACCAGCCCCCGACGATCAGGGGGTAGGCCTCCTCCAGTAGCTCCAGGCCGCTGCCCACCCGGGGCCGACGGTAGCCCCCGGGGGCCGCCCCCCTCCGGTAGTAGTCGCCGCCATGGCCGGCGAAGGACGCGGCGCTCAGGAAGAACGAGTTGGCGTCCGTGGCCACGGCGGACGGGTCACCGTCGTCGTCGCTGTCGTCATCGTCGTCGTCGTCGTAGTCGTCGTCGCTCTTTCCGGAAGTTTCCCGGCTTTCCCAGAATTCCCGGCGCTTCTTGCGGTTCCGGCCCGCTCGGAGACCCTCCCAGAATTCCCGGCGCTTCTGCGGTTCCCGGCCCGCTCGGAGACCCTCCCAGAATTCCCGGCGCTTCTGTCGTTGCTGGCCCGCTCGAAGAGCCTCCCAGAATTCCCGGCGCTTCTGTCGTTCCCGGCACGCTCGAAGAGCCTCCCAGAATTCCCGGCGCTTCTGCCGTTGCCGGCCCGCTCGAAGACCCTCCAGAATTCCCAGAATTCCCGGCGCTTCGTTCGTCCTGCCAGCCCCCGGCACGTCCAGCGTTCCCGGCCAGCTCGAAGACCCTCCCAGAGTTCCCGGCTTTCCCAGAATTCCTGGCGCTTCCGTCGTCCCGCAAACCCGCAGCGTTCCTGAAGTTCCCGCATCGCTGCCGCCGGACGGCTCCTCCACGAAGACGTCGTCGTCCACACTGTCCACGGAGGGCGTCTTTCCCGGCGGGCAGTGGCCCGACAGGGCGGCCGCTGGGACGATGTCGCGGCCCTCCGACGGGCCTGGCCCGGCCTCCGCTTCCTGCGAGGGGCAATGCGAGCGAGCACAGCGTCATCGACGGCAGCCCGGTCTTGCACCACCCCCCCCCCCCGCTCACTTTGGTTCTCTGATCGTTTAAAAAACAAGGAAATAGAAGTGTCGCGTTAACGGGGTTTTTGGTGAAACTAAAGTAGAATGTCTTCTTGGTTCTTTCGGTAAAGTCATGTTGAAGGGAAATAATGAAATAATACAAATTAAACATAATAAAATACAATTCTCACGAGGTTTCGGCCACGCTGTCTTTCCGACAGACCTGTTCTTCACCTGAGGATGGCTGCTTGCGTTGTAGCCGAAACGTCGTGAGAATTGTATTTTATAATGTTTTATTTTTATTATTTATTACTTCCCTTCTACGTGACTTTACCGAAAGAACCAAGAAGATGAATCCCTGCAGTCACGAAAGCTTTACATCGAAAAGTAGAATGGGGCTGTAACCCTTTCTGGCAATAAGATATTCAAACGCCGACTGGAAGCCCTTTGCAATGACTCCCGTTACTGCACTAACCACACACGCCTCAGCACTCGTGTCTGACATGCTGCCTCTGGTGTAGACCAATCAGTCTCAAAGACAATGCAGCATACAACACTATGGTTACATTATTATACTGATAGGAACGAAGTGAACCAGCCTACAATAGATTATATCGTCCGTCCGTCCGTCCGATGTCCGATTAGGTGTAGCAACATCGCCCCCTATTGCAAACACTTGGCAGGACCCTACAAAAACCTTTAGACTCAGTGAGGCTTTCCTGGCTAAACAAGTGTAACATTCCCTTATAATTCCCTGAGATAGTTTTTAATTAAACATTAAATTAAAAATTACTCACAGCGGCCTAAGCCTACAGCTAGGCCTAAAGCCTAGAACTAGGCCTCAAACTCTCCCTTCGTATCGTATTTGTTCGTTCCTACCAGCCGACCACGCAGGGACCTGTTTATAGGAAATGCATATGCAACGCCATGAACACACGGTGCACTTACCTGCACTAGCGGACATACGTCAGTAGGGGGTGATATGTGGCCCACCGATGTTCCCGAGACCCAGAGGTCGCAAACGGGTTGTGATTCCTTACCCGTACCCGTACCCGGCCACACCAGGGTCGCAAATGGGTACCCGTACCCGTACCCGGCCGGGTACAGGTACCCGTACCCTACCCGTACCCTACCCGAAATGAGTGACAAACGGTTTACTCACAGTGACTCACGGCCTACCTGTACCCGTACCCGGCCACACTAGGGTCGCAAATGGGTACCGGTATCCGTACCCAGCCGGGTACAGGTACCCGTTCCGTACCCGTACCCTACCTGAAATGAGTGACAAACGGTGACTCACCAGTGACTCACGGCCTACCCGTACCCGTACCCGGCTGCACCAGGGTCGCAAACAGCTACCCGTACCGGCCGGGTACGGGTAGCTGGGTATCGGGTAGAGTACGGGTATCGGGTACCCGGTTGCGACCTCTGGCTGCTGGGCCAATCAGTTTCAATGACAATGCGTGTATGCTTATCGGTGCATGTTTGTTTGAACGTTTTGAACAAGGACCGTCTGTGTGTGTTTAATGCAGTAATTTGATGCCTTGAAACAGGCTGTGTCTATTGCTGTGTGGACATATCAACACAACTCCTGTTTTCTTGCCAGAAAGGGGTAAAATCTAACAAAAGTATTAACATGCTCGGGGTTAAGCAGACATACCTATGGGACTCTTTTTTTGTTGCTGGTACTATGGAGATTTGAAAGCCGTAAAGGCTTTACCCCCCCATCCCTCCTTCCGGCAAAAATCACGGAAAACTCCTGGGAACGGGTAAAGCCTCTCACTTGTTTGTCATCGCATTGGGCCACGTTCTATTCACGTGACCACGGTTGCTAGGGAGATGCTGACTACCTCGCCTGGGATACAGGAGGTCGTGGGTTCGATCCAGACCCCTGACGCCTGCTGTATATTTGGAGTCTGTGTTTCTCTCTCATCATCATCACGGTGGCTAGGAGATGTTGACTACCTCGCCTGGTATACAGGAGGTCGTGGGTTCGATCCCGACTCTGACGCCTGCTGCTGCTGTATATTTGGAGTTTGCCGCGTCTCTCTCTCTCTCCGTGGTCGCGTGGATTTTTCTCCGGCTCTTGCGGTCTTTCCCCTCCACATTTTAGCATCACCACGGCTGTATGTTTCCACGTGTTGATGATGATGATGGTGAGCCACTTCGTGCGAGCTATTATTTGCGAGCGCCAGGTCACGTATGGAAGAGAGCTACGACATAGCGGCTTTTGATCGGCCGCTGTCGGGTGGAGGAGGGAGTCCACGACACAACAGTGACGTTCACACAATCACCCAACCCGACAGAAACCGATCGCGGATGAAGATGACCAGAAGGGAATTTACAAAGCGCCTTAATCAAGGCGCTTTACGCAGAATAAGAACAGGGCAACAACGCGCGCACATGTGTCTGTGTGTGTGTCTGTGTGTGTGTTTGTGCGTGTGTGTCTGTGTGTGTGTCTGTGTGTGTGCGTGTGTCTGTGTGTGTGTGTGTGCGTGTGTGTCTGTGTGTGTCTGTGTGTGTTTGTGCGTGTGCATGTCTGTGTGTGTGTTTGTGCGTGTGTTTGTGTGTGTCTGTGTGTGTGTTTGTGTGTGTGTGTGTGTGTGTTGTGCGTGTGCATGTCTGTGTGTGTGTTTGTGCGTGTGTTTGTGCGTGTGTTTGTGTGTGTCTGTGTGTGTTTGTGTGTGTCTGTCTGTATGTGTGAGGAGCGGTGGTGCAGTGGTTAGCGCTACGCGGCGCTACGAACCCGGCGACCCGGGTTCGATTCCCGCTCATGGCCAACACCAGTGACGATTATCTGAACCGGTCCTGAGCCTCCCCTAGGTCGACTCAGCCTCAAATGAGTACCTGGTGAGGTGTGTCGTAAACATCGCCACTGGGGAGACAAAGGCGACCGGGCGTGGTGTTGGCCACCCACCCCTCGTGTGCCATGCCGGCCTTCATAGGTGCTACTCGCTAACAGCACTTGCCGCTACAGTCTGTTAAGGCTACACGGGGATCTTTGTCTTTGTGATGAAGATGAGCTGAATGAAATAGACGAGAGGAAGCAGCGGGTGCGAATCTGTGACGATGATGAATGGAATTAATGAATGGGGGTTAACAAGTGGTAGTCGTATCATGAGAATAATGATGATTCCGACAGGAGATGATGACACGTAGCTGATGGTGATGATGGAGAACCGAGCACAGCAGGAGCGGAAGGACGTTCAAGCGGTCGTAGCTTTCCGCGGTGTAGCGGTCGTGAATCGTCATCGTCACCATCGTCATCGTCGTCACCATCGTCATCGTCACCATCGCCACCATCATCATCATCGTGACCATCGTCATCATCGTCATCATCGTCACCATCATCACCATCGTCACCATCGTCACCATCGTCACCATCGCCACCATCGCCACCATCGTCACCATCGTCACCATCGTCACCATCGCCATCGTCACCATCGTCACCATCGCCATCGGCGTTCGCTCACCCCCCGCTCCCGGCGGCTCCAGACGCCGCTGCCGTCACCGCGCTGGCGCGCGGCTCGTGGCCGCCTCTCCAGCAGCTCCTCCACGGAGCGAGCTCGGCCCTCGGACAGGGGCCGGCTCCCGGGAGGAGGAGGTGGTGGTGGTGACGGTGGTGGTGGTGGTGACGGTGGTGACGGCGGTCGCCCCCCACGCCCGCCGCCACCGCCATCGCCGCCACGTCGTCCCCCCCAACCTCCGAGTCGTCGATCATGCTCCCCTCGCTCCTGCGTGTGGGGGGGTCACGTGGGGGTCACGTGGGAAGGGTCACGGGGGGTCACAGGGTTAGCATCAGGGTTTGGTTAAGGACTTGGGTTAGGATTTCGGGTTAGAGAGAAGGGCTATTGTAAGAGCTATGGTTTTGGGTTATAGTTAGGCTCAGGGTTAAGGGTATATTCTATACACACACCCACACACACATAACGCTTCGCACAGATGCATTCAAGAATCCATGACTGCAAAGTGACTCTCCGTGTCCCCGTGTCTCCCCGTCCCCAAAGTTTTA